TTGTTTTTATTATTGACACTATTACATGTATCTCCATTCTCTTTCCCTGCTACCCCTCGCCAGTAAATATCATAAGTTTGGGTCGTGGCTCACCTACTTCTTAATTTTGAGAGATGATTAACTTGTCCACAGCTGTTTCTTTTTCTGTAAACTGGATAGGAATGCAGTGTCTACTTTATGAGGCTAATTGTCAGAATCAAGTGAAATTATTTTTGTAAGTCACAGTGCCTACGGCACAGTAACATATGCTAAAACGTGCTTTTATTTTTTGCTTTGACAATGGTGATCAGCACATTATTAACCCTTAGGAAAATCAAGTTGCTGTAATGAAAATGGTAAAACCTTCTGGGCTGTTTCTCTCACTATTTGTTTGCTCATTTATCAGCGTCTCTTCACATCTACATATACTCAAACCTATGCTCTTCCTGTATTCCTGGGCAAAGGCTGTTCTGAAAGGGCCATGCCTCAGTCCCTGTATGAGGCTGGGCTAGGATCCCTACTGTGTAAGAACCTGCAAGTAGTCTGACCAGGCTCAAATGACCTCTGCTATTGCTCTGGGTTATATATATTCTCTGATTATTTTCTGCTTGTTGGAGAAACATCTTGAGAAATAGCATCATATCTCTTACTGCTAAGAATTCTTGATTGATGAAAAATGGTACTAGGGTACACAGTGCTGATATGTTTTAAATACTAAAGAGAAGGTAAGTATATTTACTGAACCAATGGTTATAACCAATGGTTATAATAATAAGATACCTAACTAATGCAATTAAATTTGCCATGCTTATTGGTTTGGTTAGAACTTGATAGAGGGGTGGGGGGGGGGAAACTGAGGATAGCTTAGAGGGCTTTCTATTCAGGAGCAAGGAGACTTCAGTTCTGCCTCTAGGCCTACAAGGCTAACAGGAGCCTTAGGCAAGTCATTGAACAGCAGCCAACAATGGATTTCCACTTCTTCCTCAGTAAATTTCCTTTTGCTCCAAGTTTTGAGGAATTTATTATTACCACTCTGGTTGGCCCAGGAACTCCACAGTGGTTCAAAGTACACCCACATTGGGGGGTTGGGAGAAGGCATTGTATTACTCACTAGTTGATCAGAACCTGAACATGACTTGATGGGAGGCTATGTGAAGTGGGAGGGCTGAGGCTAATGGGAAGATGGGGAAGCACAGGAAAAAACGAGAGGGGGAGAGTCAGCTCAGATCCAGTTATTCAAGTCTCTCGTGGGTAAATCTACCTCTTGTATAGAATTTCAGTATTACTATGGTAGAGTACCTTGAGAAGAAAAGTATAGTGGGATAGAAACACACTGAAATAAAATATTTCCAGTACGGTAACTATTTCCAACTGAAACCACCTCTGTGTAGACTTCAGAGAATAGCAGTTTCCATGATCAAATTTCAGGCAGGCATCTTACAATGTGTAGAGAATGAGAGGTTGAAATCAAACCCATCTCCAAAGGATGGGGAGGGCCAAACAACTCACATGCTCCAAACCCCCAATAAACTTTTGTCTTTGAAAAAGGTGGTCGTCTTTTAACGTGTATGTCTCTTTTTTCTTAAATTTCTTTATTGATTAATGTGTTATATATGTGTCCTTATTCCCCCATTACTCCCTGCCCTATCACCCCCACTCATGCCGTCACCTGCTTGTTGTCTGTGTCCTTTGGTTAGGCTTATATGCATGCATACAAGTCCTTTGATTGATCTCTCCCCCTCACCCCCACCCTCCCCTACGTTTATGCCTCTTTATAGGGCTCTAATGTAATTATTTATGCACAGACTATGCACTCTATTGTTTTACTCTTTGCCCAATATGCCCATCCTCTCTTCTGATATCTGGGTTTTAATATTTCAGCAAAAAGGAATGAAAGCCGGCTGGTTTCCTAGCAACATCTGTATTCAAAGGCACGACAGGAAAAGCTTAATCGCAATACTTTGTTTCCCCCACAGTTAACTCCTGCCTCTGGAGGAAAGTTAGCAGGTAGTAAAGGAAGTGAGATACTTACAGAGAATCTGATAGGAGAGGCTACGCAGCCTCACTTAAATAAAGCCATCTTCTTTGTGTGTGTGTGTGGGGGGGGGGGGATTAAATTTATCTTTATTATTGAAAGTAATACAGGTGTATCCTCTCCCCCCTCCCATTGACTCCTTCCAGCCCTCCCCAGTCGCAGGCCTTCACCACACTATTGTCTGTGTCTGTGGGTTATTCACATATGCATACAAGTTCTTTGATTCATCTCTGCCCACCCACCCTCACACCATATTCTGATGGAGATGCCCACCAATGGGTGGAAGGCATACAGAACTGGGAGGGCGATAGCTGGGTTCCTACTAACCTCCCTACTAACTACCTGTGAATGCGGGTCCCTTCTCAGGGCTTTCGCTCTAACCAGAGGTTACTCTAGAAGAGATGACCCCCAAACTCCTTCCCACTACTGATCTGATTTTTTTAAAAGTTTAATTGCATCTGTTTCATCAACATCACGGTTTCACTGATATTATTGCTGCACCACCAGGCAGGCATCGCCGGATAATTAAGCAGCTGGCTCCCTTCCGGGGAAACATCCACGTCCCGCCTTCCAGAGACTTCCTGTCTGCACTCCAGGCCCCTCCACACCAACCACCACACCAAGGAGATGGAAGTGGTCTGACTTGGGCAGCGGTGGCGGTCAAAGTTTGCAAGAATAAAAGCCTCTTGGTGAAGAGGAAACCGTTCCCTGGGAGAGGAAAAGTCCAGATTTTCACGTTGAAAGAGTGCATGCGAGTCATTTTAAGTCTCTAGATCTTTCACCCTGAACGTCCCTGTAACAGAAACTCCACCGGGAGTCAGTCTAAATATAGCAGCAGCGAACTCCCCCCCAGCCAGAAGCCCGGGCCCTCGAGCAGCCATAGGATCGGAAAGCTTGCTCCAGGGCGCTCCCCGCATGTGCCTGGAATAGCAGAGCACGGAGCAATCGCTCTTGCACCTCCACATCGCGTGGGTGTGAAGGGTAATAAGGGAAAGCGAGAGTGACTCTGGGTATATTGGTGCTTGGCGCACACTCAGCCAAGTGGCATCTGTGCCAGCTGCCTGGAGCGAGTGGCTGCCGCGGACAGGCTTGGGGAAGAGGAGGGAAGGAAAGCAGAGTCCTGCCAGCGGCCGGAGCCGGCAGGCACCAGGGCTTCAGGAAAATAATAGCAGTAACAATAAAAAAAAAAAGCAAAAGTAAAACAGTTAAAGGGAATTACTGCCAGAGGCAGAAGGGAGCCGTCCCGGGGGCGTGGAGGAGGGGGGGCGTGTGTACGGGAGAGAACTGGGAGAGTCTCTTCGCGGGGAGGAGACAGCATAAATAAGACTTTTGCTCTAGCATTGCCTGCCTGGGTTTTTTGTCTGGTGGGAGGAAGAAGGCGCAATGGAATCACTACTTTGCGACCGTGTGCTATGGTTCTGTGGTGGAGGCTTCCGTTCTTCTCTTCCGTTTAACTTAGGGATTCTTTTCTTTAGGGCTGGGGCTGGGGGTGTGGAGGGGAGCTCTGCTCTCTTAGGAGTTCCCAAGCCGGGGTCCTTTCAATGTCCCCACGCTGACTGGGATGTGTCACTGCTTCGACTTTATTATAACACAGAACTGCTGGCGGCCAGAGGCCAGAGGCAGCCGGTGGCACCGTGGCCTCTCTCCAGGCCGAGGGCGCTCGCTCTGGGCTACCCGAGTGTCCCAGGTGGAGGGGGAGGGAGGGGCTAGCCAGTCCCAGCTCCCCGAGCGCCCTTCGTCGTGTAAGTGACAGCAACACTACAGCTGGGTGGGGACCCCAAAAATACTGGTGTCCTTGGCTCCCCACCCTCCAGGATCTTCTCCCAGACCCTAGGGCCGTCGCCGCCTCTGCGAGACTTCGCAGTTTTAACACTTTCCCGGACTTAAATGGAAATTTATTGAAGGAGGGAACCGGGTGTTTGTTTTTTTGGTTGTTGTTTGTTTGTTTGTTTCCTCCTGTGCTACGCGGCACTGTCAGGCAGAGCCCCCAGGCGAGGTGTTCACCCGCGGAGGGGCCACTTTGGAGTTTTTCCCCCTCCCGAGATCCTGCACCCCAGGGCTGGGGAAGATGGAGAGTTTTACTCGCGGGCTTGCTGTCTGATCCTGCGATGGAGTGAGCCGCGGGGAGGTGCCCGGTGCCCGCCTCGCCTTCTCGGGGCAGCAATGCCCCGCGGGGCTCCGCACGAAACTGCCCAGGACCGGGGAGCCGTGCGGGACCCGACAGCCGCTGCCCAGAGCGCGGCCCGGCGCGCCTGCTCGGGACGGACTGGTACCTGGAGGGCAGGGCAGGGCCGATCCCGCTCACACACCCCTTCCAGAGGGGTGGCAGGACCTGGCACAGCGGCTAGCGCCGGGAGGGGAGAGCGGCGACCTGCCTCTGCAGCTTCTCCTCTGGGCACGAGGCAGACGTAACCTCCCGGACAGCTCCGAAGCTCCGCGGGGAGGGGAACAACCAAACTTGCGCCTCGGAGGAGAGAGCTTTGCAGCCCCCGTCCCCTCCGGGGGTGGGGGCAGCCGCAGCCTGGGCGTGGAAAGCCGAGGGGGAGAGGAAAGGGGGAGCCTGGGGCTGGGTGTGCGCGCGTGGGAGCGCGCCTCGGAGCGCCCCGCACCGCCCGTGCGGCCCCGGGGACACTTCGGACGGACGGAGGGAGCGGTGGCCGCGGGGACCACGGGCAGCGAGAGAAACCCTCCGAGGGATGCCCCAAGCAGGTCCGGATTGCGAATTCGAAGCTCGAGGCTGCTAGGAATTGGAACTCCTCTCCCTCACTCCGTACACCCCCTGCACCCCAGACCCGAAGCCTCCGGCGGTTTGCAAGCTTCTGGCTTCCGCCGCCCACCCCACCCCCTCGAGGTCAAGGGCCCGGAGCCCGGGTCCGCCGGCCGCGGCTTCCTCCTGGAAGTCCGCCCTCCCGCCCGCCCGCGCGCATGAGGCCGCTGCCCCCGCCGCCGGCGCGGGCGCCCCCCTCGCGGTGCCCGTGGTGATGCCATGCCCCGCCACCACGCGGGAGGAGAGGAGGGCGGCGCCGCCGGGCTCCGGGTGCAGAGCGGCGCGGCGGCGGCGGCGGGCGGGGGGCGCCCGGGCGGCGGCATGAAGGATGTGGAGTCGGGCCGGGGCAGGGTGCTGCTGAACTCGGCGGCCGCCAGGGGCGACGGGCTGCTGCTGCTGGGCACCCGCGCGGCCGCGCTCGGCGGCGGCGGCGGCGGCGGCCTGAGGGAGAGCCGCCGGGGCAAGCAGGGGGCCCGGATGAGCCTGCTGGGGAAGCCGCTCTCCTACAGCAGCGGCCAGAGCTGCCGGCGCAACGCCAAGTACCGGCGGCTGCAGAACTACCTGTACAACGTGCTGGAGCGACCCCGCGGCTGGGCGTTCGTCTACCACGCGTTCGTGTGAGTACCCGCGCCCCGCGCCCCCACCCCCGCCCCTGCCACGCCCGCCGCGGGGGGCCGCTCCCCCGGGACGCGCTCCGCGCCCACGCCCCGGCCCGGTGCGCGCGCGTGCGGACACTCACACACGCACTTACACGCGCGCGCGCGCACACACACACACACACACACACACACACACAGACACATACACGCACACCTACACTCGCGGCGCACACGTGATGGCTTTTATTTCTCTGCACGTGTTGATGGTCTCCCACCCCCCGCAGCCCCTCCGCTCGCTCCCCCCTCTCCAAACGAGACCCGGTCTCCGCGCACACCCACTGAGCTGGCGCGCAGCTCGAGGCACCCAAGGCGGGAGCCAGGCGGACGTGGGACCGACCGGAGCCGCGCGGTTAATTGGGAGCGATTAGGTCCCGAGAGACGACTGTCCACTCCGTCGGATAAACTCCGACGGAGCGGGGCGCCGGGGAGCTGGGAGATGCCCGGGGAGGACGTGTGCCCGCCCGAGGGAGGCTTGTGAGAGTGTAACTGGCGGGGTTAGGAGGCGGCGGCGGGCACGTCGGGTGCAGAGAGTCGCCGGGGCGGAGCTGGGGAAGCTGCGGCTGGGGCGGGGGGGGGGGGGGGGGGGAAGCCCGGGTTTAAGTGCGCCGGGAAACACGCCTCGCCACCACCTCTGCCTCCACCAACGGAAATGTGTCTGTGCCCCTCTGTGCCCGCAGCCCTTCCTGCCGCAGAGGTGGCTCAGGTCTAGAGGAGGCAAGCAGGGCCGGGCCAGGTGATGCTCCCACCAAAGGGGCGGAGGCCCCGGGGGAGGCTGGCACGCTGGAGTCCCGGCCCAAGTGCAAACAGCAGGCGCGCCCCTGGGCCGCCCAGGACAGGGCTCAGGCAGTGGGTTAAGTGGACATTTGTGGCGCTGAGTCAAAGTGTGTGTGTGTGTGTGTGTGTGTGTGTGTGTGTGTGTGTGTGTGTGTGTGTGAAGTAAGCCTTCCCCATCTACCAGGGAATGCTTAATGAGAAAATGATTGGAAGCAAATGTTTATTTTCCCCTCAGGCATTTAAAACCTTTCAGTGGCTTTAAAGTTTACTACTGTTTTTCCCACAACGTCCATTCATTCAAGCCTTCTGTGAGAGTTAGGTTTATCTGGACCTGTGAAGGCAGTTTTATGCCATGACGCTCTTTTAATTCTTTTTCCCTTCTTTTTCTTATTCTCCTCTCTTTTTAGTTCTTTTTTCCCCCCTTCTTCTTGTCTTTTTATGTGAAAATAAAATACAGAGACGTCAGCCTTCGGAGACCAGTAGAGAAAGTAGCAGCCACTGGTACTTTCTTGTTTCCAGTAAATCTGTTTTTCGAAAGTGTGAGCTAGGTTTCTTTTAGAAATGAGGCCTGCCATCCAAACATAGCTTTCACCTGGGACAGAGGATTGGCCCTTGCAGAAATTTCTTTTGAAGTCACGTGGAAGAAGGGGCTGGTTTTGTAAATAGGTGAACCTGGAATTTGACCATGTAAAGAGTCAGGAAATTGGTGGAGTCTACAATCCGTGGGGCTCTGGTGTCTGGAAATTTTTACAGTCCCACATTGATGTGAATGTGTAGCATTAGGTAGAATATTCCAGCCAACTTTCCATTTACAATGTACACAAGGAGAACGTTGTGTTGTATTATTATTACATCAAAAGGCATAACATTTATTATTCACTCGTTTAAGATTCACATCGATTTAGATGTGGTTACTTTAATAAATGATAGACAGAGAGAAACACTACTGATGTTTTTTAATCCAACTCCTCCAAGTTGATATATAATGAATCCTATTACCTAATGAGCCTGATAAATAATTTTGAGCTGTCAGGATCTACTAAAACATTCAGCAATAATGATCTGCACTCATTTTGGCAGCAAAATATATACTGTATGGATAATGACTCTTTAAAAAAGGAGTATGCTCAAAATATAATATTTATAGCTTTGAAATTTACATTATGATGCCTTTCGTGGCCTTTAATTTGGAGGTAAATTATGCATTGTATATTCACAGAGGGTTAGAGACAAACTTTGTTGGTGCTCACACTTTGTATGACCTATGTGTTGCCCTTGAATCTGAAATGGGTACAACGTTCTTCCTCCTCTCCCCCCCCCCTCCCATGTTTAGCAGGTTTCTACGGCCTTACAGAATTTCTAAATTTTGACCAATGATTTTTTAAGTAAGAGGTTCAAGTTTGGATGATTCTCTGTTCCCTAGGCTTAACCAGTCTATCAATGTCTTTAGTGGCAGATATAAAATAAATGATGTAGTTTTCAGTACAATATGCTAATGTGAAACATTGTACTTTACATTTCTGGAGTGTGAAATTGTAACGTTTGATTGAGCATTTAGATAGAGGTGCTAGGTCCACATTAATGCAACGAATAGTGAGTATCATTTCCTGGGAGATGGTGCGACTGTAGCCAACTGTGGGGTACAGGCCATCTTTGGCAATTGCTGCATATGATTTAAATGAGCTTTAGAATAGTTGGATTTTAAATTAATAAAGGAAAGTTAGTTTGAGCTGTGAGTCTAACAAGACTATTCATAATAAAGGAAATTATAAGAAAATTATTTCTAGAGGGGGCGTAACTAACTATTTCCCTGCCAGCCTGGGAATCCCCAAATCTTACTTTAATAACAGTTTTTGTAGCACATTAAGGTTCTTGCCAAGAACAAGTGTGCTGTGATTAATGAGGTGCTTCAGGGATGGATTCAGTTGGTAGACCCAAGTTTTCACTGCCAAGAAGCAAGAAAAGTATGTTTAAAGTTCTGTTTCAGGTAAAAAGAAAAGTGTTATTAATTATGCAAAAGTCATTATTATAATGGTATCTTTAATGGTATAATATGTGGTGTAAAGTATATATATATCCTAGCCTCCTGATGAGAATGATGGCAAGAACAAGAGAGGTTTACTTCAGATACTTGCTTTCAAGCTTTATAAATTGGTGGAGGTTAGAAAGTCCATTCCCTTACTGTTCTTTAAGATTTACCAGTCAACTATGTTTCCTGGTGTTTCCTGTCTTCAGCTGTTCTTTATTTAATAGACAAGCTATTCAACTATGAGGTGACATAGTTCTTTGAATGTTGTCTATTTTTAATCCCTCCTCTTTTTAGGAAAAGTTTACAATAATGGTGGTAGTAGAGGAATACATGATTTGCACTTATGCATCAAATGTGCTTTCAGAAGTAGCATGGGAAACTGTGGCAGATACATGTAATTCATCACTTTGTACAGTGTATCTTTGTCTGGTGTAACATCATGAATCAGAATTTATAGATATTTTAAACTAGAAAAATAGTCTAGTCACCCAAGCTAGGAACCTGAAAGTTATCCTTGATGCCTTCATTTTTCTCATACTTGCTCCTAATGGCCATTCAAATGATCACTTAATTCTATGTGTTCACTTTCCAAATATTTTCAAATCTGTTCCCTTTTCTCCTTCATGACTGCCACTAGCTCTTGTTGTTTCTCAATGTTTCTCCATTGGATTATTGGATATTCTCCTACTTAATCATCTAGCTTTTGTTCTCAGCCTTTAGGCTCTATTTTAACACCACAATGTTCTCCCTAAAATGAAAATCTCATCATATCATTCCCTTGATTAAAATATTTTTATGATACTTTACCATGTACTCATACATTCATTCATTCATTACCCATCTGTAATCATGTGAGTGTCTACTATGTACTAATCCCCAATTAATAAAGCAAAAAACCTCCATTCTCAAGGAGTGAAAATGACTACACAATGAAATGACTAGAAATTTGTGAACAAGTATGAAACAACATTATCTGAGTTATTATAAAAGTAAGTACAAAGTCTCAAGAGAAAAGAGAGGGAAGTAGAAATGAAGGCAGAAAAGTAAGCACAGAGTTCAAAGAGGAAGTGAGGAGTGAAATGTTTTTGACAAATGAGTAGTTAATTTTTAAGTGGTAAAAGCGAGGGAAAATGAGCAATCCTGGTAGAGAAAACAGCTTGGGCATAAAAATGGAATTGTGAATCAACACAGTAATTCTAGATACTGTTAAGTATTTTCAGGATAAACACAATGACAAGAAAAGAGAGTAGAGAACTTGAACTTAGATGGCCTTAGATGCTAGCCATGGAATCTGGTCTTTATCCTGTAGGCAGTAGTGGTCATTGAATGGTGATAATCAAAGGAATGATGTAATCAGATACAAATTTTGGAAAGATCTGTCTTTCATTGGTTCAGTAAATGGATCAAAGGGTGCAAAATGAAGTCAGTATGGCCCTGACTGGTGCTGCTAAGTAGTTAGTAATTTCTGATTTGATTCCTAGCCAAGGGCACTTACCTGGGTTGCAGGTCTCTCTCTTTCTCTCTCTCTCTCTCTCTCTCTCTCTCTCTCTCTCTCTCTCTCTCTCTCTCTCTCTCTCTTTCTCTCTCTCTCTCCCCCTCCCCTTCTACCCACTCTCTAAAAGTCAATGGAAAAAATATTTATGGGTGAGGATAAACAACAACAAAAATGGAGTCAGTATGGCTTGGAAAAGATGATAGTGGTTGTCCAAGTTTTCCATTCATTCCTGTATTATTTAACCTATAAATTCATTCTACAAATATCTGTTGACTATGTGTCATGAACTGTTCAAGAAAGGTGAGAGATGATTACCTAAAGAACTTGGGCAGTAACTGCGGGGACAAGAAGGAGGAGTTTAATTAGAGAAATGTTAATTAGGTAGAATTGGAAGATTGTTTTCATCAGCTTGACATGTAATGTGAGAAAGATTATTCTGATTTGGGTGATGTGTAGAATGAAGGTACCCCAAACCAGTACTATATGGGACAAAGAAGGAGGGGCACATTTTCAAGACAATATAGTGAATTTAGATTTGGACTTGATGAGTTTCAGATGTTTATAAAACATTTAGGTGGAGATTTTAAGTAGTAAAAGCACAACTGTGAACCAGGTACATTTGGTCTCTTACAAGAACTATTTTTGATGAGTAGAGAGCAT